CTCGCTGCTTTGAACTGGTTTGAACTGGGATGGACTGGGAGGGGCTTTGGGCGGGGTTAAGGGGTCCGAACCGGTTTATACTGGTTCATACTGGTTCATACTGGTTTATACTGGTTTATACTGGTTTATACTGGTTTATACTGGTTTATACTGGTTTATACTGGGAGCTCACATGGTCTGGGGCGAGAAGAGCCCCGAGAGCGTCAAACACTGCGAGGCCAAATTCAGCGCCGGGCTCAGGGCTGGGGGAGGGAAAATTTGGGGTTTGGGGGGGTCCCCGAAATTCGGGAATCCCCAAATTCCCAAAATTCCCAAAATTTTCCCGAAATTTTCCCGAAATTCCCACGGAAAACGCCGCGAAAATGACCCGAAAACGCCCAAAATTGACCCAAAATCAGCCCAGGTTTGGGGTGGGGGAGGGGAAATTTGGGGTCTGGGGGGGCCTAAAATTTGGGAATCCCCAAATTCCCAAAAATTCCCCAAAATTTCCAAGAATTTCCCCCCCCAAAATCCCCAATTTTGGGGCTCCCACCCCCCTAAATTTCCCAAATTTTGGGATCCCAATCCTCCCAAATCCCAAATTTTGGAATCCCCCTCCCCCAAATCCCAAATTTTGGGATCCCCCCACCCCAAATCCCAAAATTTTTGGATCCCAGCCCCCCAAAATCCCCAAATTTTGGGATCCCACCCCTTCCAAAATCCCAAAATTTGGAATCCCACTCCCCCAAATCCCAAAATTTTGGGATCCCACCCCCCCAAATCCCCAAATTTTGGAATCCCACTCCCCTAAATCCCAAAATTTTGGGATCCCACCTCCCAAAATCCCCAAATTTTGGGATCCCACCTCCCAAAATCCCCAAATTTTGGAATCCCACCCCCCCAAATCCCCAAATTTTGGGATCCAACCCCCCAAACCCCAAATTTTGGAATCCCACCTCCCAAATCCCCAAATTTTGGGATCCCACTCCCCCAAAATCCCAAAATTTTGGGATCCAACCCCCCAAACCCCAAATTTTGGAATCCCACTCCCCCAAATTTTGGAATCCCAGGCCCCCAAATCCCAAATTTTGGGATCCCACCCCTCCCAAAATTTTGGAATCCCACCCCCCCAAATCCCCAAATTTTGGGATCCCACCCCCCCAAATCCCAAAGTTTTCAGCTCTCCACCCTAAATCCCCAAATTTTGGGATCCCAATTCCCCCTAAATCCCAAATTTTGGGATCCCACCCTCCTAAATCCCAAATTTTGGGATCCCCCCCACCCCAAATCCCAAAATTTTGGGATCCCATCCCAAATACCAAATTTTGGGCTCCCACCCTCCCAAATTTCGGGCTTCCCCCACCCCAAATTTTGTGTTTTTCCCTCTCCCACCCCCCCAAATCCCCAAATTTCGTGGTCCCGCCCCCCTAAATTCCCCCGAATTTTCCAAATCTCCCGAAATCTCCCCAAAATTTCCCCAAATTTGGTTTTTTTACCTGTGAGGGCGGCGGGGTTGAGCCCCCCCAGGGGGGTCAGGGCCCCGTTGAGCTGCTGCAGCGCCGCCTGCGCCGGGGGGGGCAGCTGCAGCCCCGAGCCTGCGGGCCAAAAGCGCCCCAAATCACCCCAAAATCACCCCAAAATC